AATAGCAAGGTGAATAATTAAGGAGATGAATAATTAAGAAGGTTAATAATTAACGAGATTAATAATTAACAAGGTGAATATTTAAGACAGTGAATAATTAATGAGACAGATAATTAATGTGGTGAATAATTAACAATGAGAATAATTAATGAGGTGAATAATTAACAAGGCAAATAATTAATGATGGGAATAATAACCAAGTGAATAATTAATAAGGTGAATAATTATGAGGTTAATATTTAACAAGATGAATAATTAAGGCAGTGAATAATTAACAAAGGGAATAATTAAGGAGATGACTAATTAACAAGATCAATAATTAACAAGGTTAATAACTAAGGAGGTGAATAATTAGGGAAATGAGTAATTAATGAGGTTAATAATCAAGGAGGTGAATAATTAATGAGGGGAATAATTAACAAGTTGAATAATTGAGATAACTAATTAATGAGGTGAATAATTAAAGATGTGAATAAGTAATGAAGTGAATATATAAGGAGGTGAGTAATTAATGCGGTGACTAATTAACGAGGTGAATACTTACTGCGGTGAATAATTAAGGAGGTGACTAATTAAGGAGGTAATTCACGAGGTTAATAATTAATGAGGTGAATAATTATCAAGGTGAATAATTAAGGCAGTGACTAATTAATGCAGTGAATAATTAACGATGTGAATAACTAAGAAGGTGAATAATTAAGAAGATCAATAATTAAGGAGGTGAATAATTAAGGAAGTGAATAATTAAGAAGGTGAATAATTAAGGAAGCAAATAAATAGTAAGGCGAATACTTAATGAGATTAATAATTAACAATGTGAATACTTAAATATGTGAGTAATTAATGCGGTGACTAATTAAGGCGGTAATTAATGCAGGGAATAATTAAGGGAGTGAGTAACTAAGGAGGTGAATAATTAGGAAGATCAATAATTAAGGAAGTGAATAATTAAGGAAGTGAATAATTAAGAAGGTGAAAAATTAACAAAGCAAATAACAAGGTGAATACTTAATGAGGTAAATAATTACCAATGTGAATAATTAAATATGTGCGTAATTAATGCGGTGACTAAATAAGGCGATAATTAATGCAGTGAATAATTAACAATGTGAATAACTAAGAATGTGGATAATTAAGAAGATAAATAATTAAGGAGGTGACTAATTAACGCGGTGAATAATTAAGGGGGTGACTGATTAAGGAGGTGAACAATTAATAATAATTAATGAGGTTAATAATTAAGGAGCTGAATAATGAATGAGGGGAATAATTAACAAGGTGAATAATTGAGATGAATAATTAAGGAGGTGAGTAATTAATGAATGCGGTGAGTGATTAGGGGGGTCAGTGATTGAGGAGGTGCCTAATTAAGGCGGTAATTAATTAATTAGCGGGTTAATTGGCACCTCGGTAGCAGGTGCTGAAGTTTTTCACTTTGGCGTCGTCCAGGAAGAGCTGAAAAAAACAAAAGATCCAAAATTTAGGAATTTGACCCCAAAAAAATCCAAAATTTGGGAATTTGACCCAAAAAAATCAAAATTTGGTAATTTGACCCCAAAAAAATTCAAAATTTTGGAAATTCACCCCAAAAAATCCAAAATTTGGGAATTTCACCCCAAAAAATCCAAAATTTTGGAATTTCACCCCAAAAAAATCTGAAATTTGGGAATTTCACCACAAAAAATTCAAAATTTGGGAATTTCACCCCAAAAAAATCCAAAATTTGGTAATTTTACCCCAAAAATTCCAAAATTTTGGAATTTCACCCCAAAAAATCCAAAATTTTGGAATTTCACCCCAAAAAATCCAAAATTTTGGAATTTCACCCCAAAAATCCAAAATTTGGGAATTTTAACCCCAAAAAACCCGAAATTTGGGAATTTTACCCCAAAAATTCCAAAATTTGGTAATTTCACCCCAAAAAATCCAAAATTTTGGAAATTCACCCCAAAAATCCAAAATTTGGGAATTTTACCCCAAAAAATCCAAAATTTTGGAAATTCACCCCAAAAAATCCAAAATTTGGGAATTTTAACCCCAAAAAATCCAAAATTTGGGAATTTTAACCCCAAAAAATCCGAAATTTGGGAATTTCACCCCAAAAAATCCAAAATTTGGGAATTGTACCCCAAAAAATCCAAAATTTTGGAAATTCACCCCAAAAAAATCTGAAATTTGGGAATTTCACCCCAAAAAATTCAAAATTTGGGAATTTTACCCCCAAAAATCCAAAATTTTGGAATTTCACCCCAAAAAAATCCAAAATTTGGGAATTTTACCCCAAAAAAATCTGAAATTTGGGAATTTCACCCCAAAAAATTCAAAATTTGGGAATTTTACCCAAAAAAAAATCCAAAATTTGGGAATTTGGGAATTTTACCCTAAAAAAATCAAATTTTGGGAATTTAACCCCGAAAATCCAAAATTTGGCAATTTTACCCAAAAAAAAAATCAAAATTTGGGAATTTCACCCCAAAAATTCAAATTTGGGGTTTGGGGATTTTGGGGAGTTTTGGGGTTTTTTTGGGATATTTTTGGTTTTTTGGGGGTTTTTTTTGGGATTTTTTGGGGGGTTTTTTGGTTTTTTTTTTTTT